TTCCCGTTACTTCCTCCCCTAATTTCATTCCTTCTCCTTTCCGTTAAATTATTATTATTATCATCGTTTTTTTCTTTTTATTACAATCAGCGATCGCGTCGTAGTCGTGCTTTTATTAGTAAACGCTATGTAGTCTTTATTACTCAAGCTTATGCCCAAAAATCTACCAGAGGCACTTTGGGTTTATTAGTACCATTTGAAGTCGGCGTGCGCGGGGGAGGGTGTGCTGCGAGTCCTTCGCTTCTCTCCACTCCTTTCGTTTTACTCGTTTATTATACATATTTTTGCGTTACTTCTTCTCCTCCTTACTTTTCATTTTCTTTTAGGTTGTGATATATAACGGTCGAACGACGCGAAAATTCTTGTTGCCTACGTGTTTCTCTTTTGCCCGCTTCTCTCTTTCCGTTTCCTCGTGACATGAGACGGAGTACCCTGTCTGCGATCCAATGATCGTTCTCGCCCGCACGCCCGTTCGCCGCCGCGCGTTTCCTCAGCGTCACACCGCGTTCCCCCTCCCCCGTTCCTTTCCCGTAGCCTACCAACTCCGTATCTTTCCCTGCTGCCTTACCTTTCCACACACGGGTCTTCCGATGTTTTTTGAGCAATAAATACTTTCTCCACTGACAACTGCACATTGAATTGACGCACGGGACACACACTCATACGCGGTATACACAACAAACGATTTGTTTTACTCGCACTCGCTACCAGCCGCTCGCGTCGACAGCACCCTCGAAGGTCGCTCCGGCCGTCGAGCGCCCCTTCGGCGATATGAATTCTTTTTGTCCACGATGATCGTCGGGACCAACCCACGCGGATCTAAACATCAATGGCAGTCAATGTGGCGGGAACCCCCGCGCCGAGAGTTCCCGGTGTGCGTTTTCGAGAGCGGTCGAAGTTTCAACAAGGAAAATGAACTTGGAAGATACACGATACACACCTGCACGGATTCACGAGATTTACATCGTGTTAGTAAATCTTCTTTCTATCTTTCTTTCTTTTTTCTGCTTTTTTTTTCTTTTGATCCCCTTTATAGATACAATGAATACAAGAGGTCGGTCAACACATTGCGCGTAGGTGACACGTTTGTAGGAGAGATAGGGTTTCGAGTACTGTCAGTCCGCGAACGGCTCCCGCATGCACTCTCATCTGCATCAGCGCGATTCTGAACGTTTCCCACCCATACCAATATGGCTACATCCACAGAGTTTAAGTGTTACGCATTTTTTTTTCTTTTAATTAATGATTATCAATTCATATCAATTCAATATCAATGTATTACAATCAGACAATACTCAACAGTGATCGTTATTCATTATATATTACAATAATTAAGAGTGACAACAACATGACGACGGAGGCGTTGAAGCATTACAAGGGAATAGTGTAAAGATAGAGAAAGAGCGAAGGGAAGAGATAGATCGAGGGAAACAGTGAGATAGAGAAAGTGGGAGGGATGAGATAGTGGCACAATGTGTGTTTTCTAGGATGATCAGAACGAGTAGGAGGCGCCGATAGTGGACATATCTTTAGCTACATGTAATACGAAGAGGGAAAGTGACACAAGGAATAGAGGGATGCGGGATAAGGGTTTTCTGATGATTATGAAACAGTGATGATGATAGGATGATCATTGGTGAAGAATTATAATGATAATGATAGTGATAATGACGATGATCATGATGGCGATGATGATGATGATGATGATGATGATGATGATGGTGATGATGACGATGATGATGATGATGATGATGATGATGATGATGATGATGATGATGATGATGATGATGATGATGATGCATGACAATGAAAATGAATGTTGAATGATAAAATGGAACAATGAGCTGGAGACCAAGGAGGGGAAGCACGCACACTCAACACAACCGTCACATCGAGCTGGCCTCGCGCGCGGCCATAGTCTATAAGATTAATACCTATCAACTAATACACAGTCTGTCTCCGATTCGCGGATGACTCCTTCCATTTTCTTCCGTTTTGAATGCATGTAAGTATAAATAATACGCGTAATGCAATGCGTACGTACAGTACGGCGATCTCTGCGCGATCGATTCGACGAGACGAGTCGACAACGGTCCGACGGTCATCCGATTGGACGATGGGTGAATAATGTTATCAACGCTGTTCATCGAGGCAGCGAGATGTTTCGAATCGGCAGGGACCACTGAGAAACAAACTTCGGCGTACGCGCCGATACTGTACGCGCACTCGTTCCCGGATACTGCATATACATACACACATACATTTGCGCCGGTATAAAGTGTATATATGTACACATATACATACGACATACCATCCATGTATATATAATATACCCATAATGTTTAATTAATCATCGTTAATCGTTAATTATCTTATTTATTAAAATTCGTCAGTTCGTAATTCAAAAAATTTCAGCTAGTAGCGGTGGATGGAAATGTTTCTTCGTTAAAAATCGCCGATCCCCCGACGATGGCGCCGCGGCATCTATATCGATCGCTTCATTTAAACACATTTACAAACAATCGGGATCGATCGGCCGATTCGTTCACTCTCACTTATATCACTAATGTCTATCTTTTGTTACCTTTT